CACTGTGCTTCCCTGGCCCCATCTTGCATGCACATATACATGTGCTAATACCGATATACTGATATGCAAGAACCTGCACACATGCACCTTCTTTTTAAAAAATCAAACTGGGAAAGAACCATTTTGTAGTGGGAATGTTCATCTGTGAATCGTCAAGAATGTCATGTGTCAGGATTGTGGGGCTTTCAAGGTTAGTATGATTTTTTTTTCAAAAGTATAGACTAGACCTAATTCTCAAATTGGATTTTCCACCTTTTGTTAGGTACCTGCTCCCTGTTTATTTCCCTCTTGAATGAATGCTGGTCTTGCTTGAATGGGTGCATTCCTTCACTGGCACCCACAATCATATGGGTTTGGGTTTTTTTTTTTTTTGAGCAGGCATGGTGTCTCATTTGGTAGGAAACAAACCTTCCCAAGGATGCTAGTACTATCATTAATTACATCTTCTACTTTACCATCTGAGTCCATATGGAGCCCCCGGTGGCACAGTGGGTTAAACCCCTGTGCCGGCAGGACTGAAGAACGACAGGTCACAGGTTCAAATCCGGGGAGAGGCGGATGAGCTCCCTCTATCCGCTCCAGCTCCTCATGCGGGGACATGAGAGAAGCCTCTCACAAGGATGATAAAAACATCAAATTATCCAGGCGTCCCCTGGGCAATGTCCTTGCAGACGGCCAATTCTCTCACACCAGAAGCGACTTGCAGTTTCTCAAGTCGCTCCTGACACGACAAAAAAACAAAACAAAAACTGAGTCCATGGAAATCCTGGCTGCTTACCCTGATTTTCCCCTTCTTTTCACCATCCTGAAATGACTAGCCTTAACTCAGAGTGGAACATGCAGATATCCAGATTTTGATGGATGGCATATTCCAGCTGGCTAGGATTGATGGGAGTTGCAGTCCAACACCATCTATAGGGCTGCATAATTGCCACCCTTAGCCTAAATCAAATATGTTGTCAAAGGCCTTCATGGCAGGAATCATTGGGTTGCTATGAGTTTTCTGGACTGTATGGCTATGTTCCAGAAGCATTCACTCCTGATGTTTTGCCCATCCTCAGAGGTTGTAAGGTTAGTTGGAAACTAGGCAAGTGAAGTTTATATATCTGCGGAATGTGCAGGGTGGGAGGATGGACATTCCCTGGACATTCCATAGATATATAAACCTCACTTGCCTAGCTTCCAACAGACCTCACAACCTCTGAGGATGCCTGCCATTGATGTGGACAAAACGTCAGGAAATAATGCTTCTGGAACATGGCCATACATCACTAAGCAACTCTGCTGAATCACTAGCTGAATGGTAAACCAAACTGTAGGCAAACGTCACTGAATGAATGAGCATACTTTAATTCGAACAAGCCATAAGATTTAATTCTGTTCTGTCCCCTCCATTGATCTGTCCAGTTTTATTTTTCATTCAGTTCTCTTATTCCCAAGTTCTGCATGAGAGTAATCTGAGCATTTCTCATCACCCATCCCTGAACTATTGGCTAAGCTGGTGGGCATGGTGAAAGCTGAGAAGGTAAAAAAAATGGGATCTTTATAAATCATCATTAGATCATAATGCTCATTTGACTAAATGCATTGAAAATCCTTAACAAGGAAGAATGGTCTAGAACATAAAAGGAGACAGAAAAAATATGTCAAGATTCACGACAATGATAAAAAATCAATCCCTGAAGAAGTGTGTTTCTAGCTGTTGAAAGTAAATCCAACATGATGCATATAGGCAGATGCATGAACCTAACAGGGTGGCAGATGTTGGGGGGATGTAATAGCAAGATATGAGAAGAGTGCTTTCATGTGTGCCACTAGGGCTCCCAGATCTTATGGCCTGGTCTCTCCGCTCTGCTATTCAGACTGAGGGAAAGAACTGTGTTTTCTTCATTTGTTAGATATGATGTTTTCTATTTCAATGAAATACTCTGTACAGCTTGTGACTGATGCTTATGGTTCTACACCTTAGGCATCACCAGTGGCTTCCCCTTGTTACCTCATTATTATCATTTAGACCTGCCCCTATGACATCACAAGGTATTGCTCAGAAGCCTCAATTTGGGCAATCCAATCTCAGGGCTTGAGATACTCCTAACCTGGCAAACCTACACGCCACACAGACTATGTCTTACATCCATCCACAATAGCCAAGTGGCCTAGATGCATTGGAGGATGTTGCTCCATGGCTAATATTGAAATAAGATTTAGCTGCTAGTTCATTTGGGCTGTTGTCTATGCAGCAGATGGGATGCTATCTTGTTCTTCTCAAGTAGCAAAAATATCTTCAGTTGATCCATGCCAACTTTTTCAAGCTACCTTCCTATGTCCCCTGCCCTATTCTCCATTATGATATCTGAACATGTAAACAGATCTTTGAAAGCTCAACCTTCATCCTGATGATACAACAAATGATGGCCATATGGCCATATAGGAACACTTATTTCTCTCCTTTTTTCCATTCATTAATCGACTGGCCTTTCCAAACCTGGGATCTTCTTGAGATTTTTGTCTAAAACTCCCATCAGCCCCAGTCAACTGATCTGAAAAGATCATTTATTCAGAAAGGTTGATACCCTTCCCATTCAAAGTCATCCTTTTCCTTTTCCTTTTTGCTCACACTTGGGAGAATCAACTGGAATTCAATCTCATAATTTCCCCATGAAAGTGACTTTTTAAAAAATGAAAAAATGTACAATTTATAGATCTGTGGTTTTTAAAAAGCTGGCTTTGTTTTTATTCTGTTTTGCAAATTTAGTAGCAATGTATTTGTTGATATTTTGTGGAACTGAGTGTTTTGTAGAACTGAAGAGTAAGGTGTGGTTCAGGAGAGGCAAACATGTAGAACTCCAGATGTTTTTGGATTGAAATTGCTGCCTTTCTGCACCATTGGCTGTGAGGGTGAGGGCTAATGGGAGTTGCCTTTCAACCACAATACCACCTCGGCATTTCATTTCATTAAAAATAATTGACAGGTAATGATCCTCATCTGATCTGATGCTCCGCTTACTGTCCCATTTATATTGTGGATCCATGAAACCAATGTCAAATAATAGTCCCCTTTTTCTCTGTACTGAAATCCGCTATCATTGAGTATCTCCTGCATCAAAGTCTGAGCAACTTGTAGATCACCCTCATTTACTTACTTCTCCCTGTCCATATACTAGTAATTTAAACAAATTTCCCTATTAGATGAAGTCTTAATCCAGTGCCCCATATTCACTTATCTCTCTCCTCCTCCTCCTCCTCCTCCTCCTCCTCCTTCAGGTGTGCCTGCCTACCAATATGGACCAGACTAGGTGGACTACATGGATGGCGCTACTGCTATAGTTACTTACATCATAGCAACCAGTGTCAACTATGATGAAGAAGAATGGTGGGTTTTTCCTGGATTTTGGACAACTCGCTAGAGATCCAGGAGCACAACTTCATTCCTTTTTACAGGTGCTGCTGGTTGCTCCCACCATTTTTTCACCTAAGTCACTAAACAACCACAGCAATGCCCCCAGCAACTGACAGCCATCAGTGAGTCGTGTTGGATGTTGCACAAAGAGCTAATGAATAACTCCTTGCACAATGTCAAAAAGGAGATGAATGTTTCTATAACTCTGATTCATCACCAACATGACTCCAAACATTGTATAATGGTAGCCCCTGGTATGTATCCATTTATGCACCTCAAAAGCCCATAGGTATGCAGAGGATGGTCAAGAAACAGAAGAAACAATTTTAACATTGAAGTAACCTCTTGGGGGTTAAAAGTGTCTTAGACTACGGTCCATATGAGAAATATAAACATACATATTTATGCTAACTCTTTGCTATATTGTTGCTTCAGTCTCATGTTCAAGAGTGGCCTCTTTTCACCCACAAAAGCTATCAGCCCAAGCATTTGGCAAAGTGTGAGTGGAGCAGATTTTGAAGCTCTGTTAGAGAGAAATTCATATTTGATGCCTGAAGGGATATCATTTCCCCATTCCTATTGGGACAGTCAAATCTGGTAGACAGATGGTACAGGCAGATCTTGGGAATAATTTGTTTTTATGGGAAGGGAATACAACTCCCAGAATGCCATAATTAATTTGGTTGCTAGGGTAGTTTGAACCTTTCACTGCTTGTATCATTAACTGTTGGTTCTGGCAATTCTTCTTTCCCAATTTTTCCTCTTATAGAAACAAGTGATCTGTTTTCCTCTTTTTTATACATGGGATCTACAATCAAAATGTAGAGATATATGACTATAAAGACATTGGAGCATCTGTCTTACTGAATATAGAAGCAATAAGCAAGTGAAACAACCTGTTGTCTTCTCCAGGACCATTGCAAATTGCATATTCTTTACCAGATACAGGTGTACAATGTAAAAAAACAGAGGTTTTATCATTTTATTTGCTCAGGGTGATGGATAAATGGCAACATGTGTTGCTTTGGAGAAAAGAGGTGATTTTACAGCTCCCACAGTTCTATAGACCAACATGTCTAAAGCAAGAGTGAGAAATATATGGTCCTCCATATGTTAGTGGACTCCCATTCCCAGCATCCTTCATCATTGACTATCTTGACCAGGATGGCTAGGAACTTCAGTCCAACAACATTTTGAAGGGCTGCTTTACTCTCATGTTTACTCTAGAGACAAATGTTCATCGTCCTTAGTTTAAATTTACCCTGAATCAGGCACCAAAGTGACTTGATGTGCATCTACTATAGTATAGCTCAGAAGCACAGCATATGGCTTGCTTGTAGACACCCCAAAATCAATCCCAGGAATCACCAGTTAAATTGATTAGATGTTATGTGGGAAAGATTTCCATCTGATACCCTGAAGAGCTTCTAGGAATCAGAAAGGATAACACTACATTAAATGGATAAGACCTGATATAAAGCATATTTCTAAGTTCACACATGTGTGCAATCCATATGATGCTATATACATAACCACCACATACCCCCATTTGTGCACACTTCCTTATTATCACCCCTGAAAAGTTGCCAGAAAAAAGCACCTGTTTCCTGGAGCTCAGGGCACTCTTGTTCCCCCGGCAGGAGAGCTTCATGGAGCTGGAGGTGCTAATGGAGTTGTTATGTTTGCTCAGCTGGCCTGCATGTTGCGGGGAGGCAGGCAGCGGGTTCATGAAGAGGATGCGTGCAATGAGGCCATAAAGGACAGTGGCCAAGACAAGGGGGATGACATAGAAGATGGTGAAGTCCAAGAAGTAGATTGGCATGTAGAGGTTCCTAGAGACACGGTAGCCACAGCTGACTTTCATTCCATCAGCGAATACAGCTTGGGAGATGTCCACAAGGAAGAACCACATGAGGCAGTACACAGCAGTGAAGAACCACACACAGGCAATGATACGCTTGGCCCGGGCCACGGTGCAAAGCAGCTGTGCTTTGATGGAATGGCAAATGGCGATATAGCGCTCCACAGTGAAGGCAGTGATGGAGCATGCGGAGATGTTAATGCCCAGGTACTGCAGGTAGGTAATGAACAGGCAACCAGCATAGCCGTACACCCAGGATGCCACCACTTCGGAAATGTTGGGCAGTCCTGCCGCAAGCAGCACAATCAGGTCAGCCACAGCCAGGCTAACCAGGTAGCAGTTGGTAGGAGTCACCATGTGCTTGGTGCGAAGGACCACCAAGACCACCATGATGTTGCCTGCAATTCCTACCCCACAGATTAGCAGCACCAGCAAGATGGTTACTACCTGCACCTCCAGAGGCAACTGGGGCATTTTTTCTAGAAGAGTCTGGTTGGTGCTAGAATTGCCCAAGGGTGTCCCAAAGAAGTCCCAGGACTGGTTCTCCATTGGTGGATCACAAGTAGATTTACTTCTTTGACAGGAATATTAACTGAAGTTGACTCCTGAGAGCTCCTGAATTGAGAATAATGTCAGACGGTACCCTGTGCCAGGGGGAAAAAAAGAAGAAAAAAGTTAAGAGCTATTGGCTTGGCTCAGACAAACCAAGATAAGTCATTGTACATGGAAATAGTTAACCATGGTCTCGTTTATAGAATTGCTGTAAATTTATTGTAATAGGTAAAGTTTTCCCCTTGACATTAAGTCTAGTTGAATCCAACTCTGGGGGGCGGGGGTGCTCATCTCCATTTCTAAACAGGAGAACCAGTGTGGTCCATAGACACCTCCAAGGTCATGTGGCTGGCATGACTGCATGGAGTGCTGTTACCTTCCCACCAAAGTGGTACCTATTGATCTACTCACATTATCATGTTTTCAAATTGCTATGTTGGCAGGAGCTGGGACTGACATCATGAGCTCACCCCGTCCCACGGATTCGAACTACCAACTTTCTGGTCAGCAAATTCAGTGGCTCAGTGGTTTAACCTGCTGCACCACTACAGCCCCGTAACCCTACAATAGAATTATTGTTATACGGTACAAGTATTTCTTTGAGTCTGTATTTCTTGTTAACTTCCCTCACTCAGGTTTTGAGAAGATAGCCTCAGAAGTGTTTCTAAAAACAATACTCTCTCTGTGTGTAAGGGGCATTATGTATTTATTTTCTCCATTAGTCTACTTAAAGATAGCATGACTAAGGTGCAGCTGGGTATGTGTAGACTCCTTTTACCTTATTACAAAATAAGACCAAACTGTCCCATATCTTGAATAGAAGTAAAGGACTCCCATGTCACAGTCAGCAATACTGGTTGAAGGTCCGGGAGCAATATACGTCCCATTTCAATAGTAGCTAGAAGACTTACTTCATGAGGTCTGACATCTCTGTTGTCTCTTACTAAATGCTGGCTGCTTAAGCCTTCTACTGCTACAAGTTAGTACAGTGTTTCCTGCACACTGGAACGGATTCTTCCCAACAAGTCCCAAATAACAATAACAAACATTAAAATGTATAGATACATTATTCTACTAAATTCTCCCACAAAGAAATACCTAAAAATGGCTTCCCACCCTCTAACTTCCCTTTGATATTAAACTACTTTTCTTCTAAGACAAAAAAAAATCTTTCCATCTATATAAATGTTCAAATCTTTCCCTCTTTCCTTTGTATATAAATAAAAAACAACCCCAGCCTTTTTAAAATGGTTCAATGACTTCTCACTTACTATGTTGTCTATTTCAACAGATCTGCCCAAGGTGCTGAACTCTAAAATAGTTTCAGACTTTAAGCAATCTATTCAAGTTGTTAAGCCTATTTGGGAGATCCGATTCCACACCTTAATGCTATAGTGAACCAGCATGATGTGTAGAAGTTTGAGTGTTGGACTATGATTCTGGAGAATTGGGTGAGAGAATCATAGAGTTGGAAGAGACCTCGTGGGCCATCCAGTCCAACCTCCTGCCAAGAAGCAGGAAAATCACATTCTAAGCACCCCTGACAGATGGCCATCCAGAATCCGCTTAAAATCTTCCAAATAAGGAGCCTCCACCACACTCCAGGGCAGAGAGTTCCAACGCTGAACAGCTCTCACAGTTAGGAAATTCTTCCTAATGTTCAGGTGGAATCTCTTTTCAGGTGGAATCTCTTTCAGGTGGAAGCTATTATTCTGCGTCCTAGTCTCCAGGGCAGCAGAAAACAAGCTTGCTTCCTCCTCCCTATGACTTCCCCTCACATATTTATACACTGCCCTCATCATGTCTCCTCTCAGCCTTCTCTTCTGCAGGCTAAACATGCCCAGCTCTTTAAGCAGCTCCTCATAGGGCTTGTTCTTCCAGACCCTTGATCATTTTAGTCGCCCTCCTCTGGACACATTCTATCTTGACCACATCTCCCTTAAATTGTGGTGCCGAGAATTGGACACCATGTGATTCCAGGTGTGGTTTGACCAAGGCAGAATAGAGGGTCCAATTCCCCATTCACTTATGACTGGTCTGGGGCAAGTCACAATCTCAGAACTGACCAGATCTCCAGAGTGATCCACTACTCACCACCTTCTTTGTTATTATTATTATTATTATTATTATTATTATTATTATTATTAACTTTATTTGTACCCCGCTAGCATCTCCCGAAGGACTCGATGCGGCTCACACAGGCCGAAGCCTTTGCTGGTTTTCCTCAGGACCCTCACTCAAATTTTAACTACCTCACGTTAACATGGCAATAGGCCAGATGCAATCCAATTAGGTACAACATGAAAAGTAATATCTCATCACTAGCCAACATGTATGACTGCACTTTCAAGGCAACTTTTCCACACAGCTCTCCATCCTTATTAATGGAAAACTTTAACACAGACTCCCTCGTGGTCCCAATCTACCTTTTCTTCTTCTGCTTTGATCACTGGGTTTTGGTGGTGACTCCAAGAGGAAGGAAAAGTCGAGGAAAAGCGAGTGAGTGAAGAAAGAAACAATCTACAAAAAGGAGGAAGCAAGAGCTATAGACGGAGGAATGGAAGGAGGCAAAGAGACAAGAACTGAATGGGATGAGGCTCCAGCACCGGTTCTCTCACGCCCCCCAATCGACATTCCTCCCTCCCTCCTGCTTTCCTTTGAGTCCCTTGTGATGTTTCATCTGACCCAGCCCTGGTTCTTGGTAATGACTCCGAGAAAGAAAAGGAAGAAGAAGAAGAAGAAAAAGGAGTGGAGAAACCAAGAAAAGAGGAAAAAGAAAGGAATGGTCTACAAAAAGGAGGAGGAGGAGGAGGAGGAGGAGGAGGAGGAGGAAAGAAACAGATGGAGAAACGGAAGGAAGAAAAGAGTAAGGACTGAATGGGATGAGACAAGAGAAGTGGAGAAGGGGAAGAAACGTCGAGGGAGAGGAAGGGATGAAAGGAATGGTGTGCAAAAAGGAGGAGGGACTAAGAAAGAAAGAAAGAAAGAAAGAAAGAAAGAAAGAAAGAAAGAAAGAAAGAAAGAAAGAAAGAAAGAAAGAAAGGAAGGGAGAGAAGCTGAAAGAAGGAAAGAGATAGGGACTGAATGGGATGAGACAAGAGGAGTGGAGACGGGGAAGAAACTCCGAGGGAGAGGAAGGGAAGGAGTGGTGTACAAAAAAGGAGGAGGGAGAAAGAAAGAGAAAGGGAGAAACGGAAAGAAGGAAAAGAGTAAGGGCTGAATGAGGTGAGGATTCAGCACCAGCTTTGTCAGGCACCCAATCTTCCCTCCTTTGTCTCGGCTTTAATCGTTTAGCTGGCCTCTGGGTCTTGTTTGGTGACTCCAAAAGAAAGGGAAGGAAAAAGAGAAAGAGGAGCGGAGAAACCAAAAGAGAAGAATTTTTTTGTTCCTGTCAGGAGCAACTTGAGAAATTACAAGTCGCTTCTGGTGTGAGAGAATTGGCCGTCTGCAAGGACGTTGCCCAGGGGATGCCCGGATATTTTGATGCTTTACCATCCTTGTGGGAGGCTTCTCTTATGTCCCCGCACGAGGAGCTGGAGCTGACAGAGGGAGCTTATCCGCGCTCTTCCCAGATTCGAACCTCCGACCTGTCGGTCTTCAGTCCTGCAGGCGCAAGGGTTTAACCCACTGTGTCACCGGGAGCTCCTCCGGAGAAGAAAATGACCCACGAAAAGAAGGAAGGAAGGAAGGAAGGAAAGAAGGAAAGAAGGAAAGAAGGTCTGACTGCATGGATAAGCAAGAGAGCAAAGCGGAGAGGGAATGGAGGAGGAGGAGAGAAACTTTACCATGGCGAGGCAAGCGGCTCCGAAGGGCGAATGCCTGCCTTCTCTCTTCAGTCCGGTCCGCCCATCGGTTGAGTTCTCCGCTTGCCGCTCTCCTTGCCGTCGGTTCCGTCGGGGCTGAATGAATGGCTTGCCAAGGGCTGCCTTCCTCTCTCTTGCAGCCGCAGTCTGCCCGATCCGCCCCTACAGAGCCCCCTCCCCTCCTGTGGGGAGCAGCGGGGTCCTAGCGCCCCCTCTTGCGTGGCAGGGCAGAGTGGGCGAGAGGGGATCCCCCCCCTCCTCCTCCCCGAGGATTCCGTTGCAAGCCGCTTTCCTCTCTGGCAGCCTCCAGTTGTACCCCAAGGGTACACCAGGCATAGGCAAACTTGGGCCCTCCAGGTTGAAATCCAAAACACCTGGAGGGCCCAAGTTTGCCCATGCCTGGTGTACCTAAGGGGTCATGGTTTTGGTTTGGTGAGGTATTAGCATTCTTTGGCAAACTACAACTTCCATGGATCCCAAGCTTTGAGCCGTGGCACTTGAAGTGGTATCCAATGCATTCTATGACTTCCGTGTGTACAATCAAAGCTAGATCTCAGGAGGGAAGGGCTGCCATTGGGAGGTGGAGGTGGTGAGTGTCCCCAATTGACCATCAACAGTCAAAACCACAGGTTTTGGGTGCAGTGGTAAACTTTCCCCATGATATCTCAGAAATGCTCTTTTGACAATTGATTTTGTGCTATTGATTTTAGTGTCACTTGCTTCTAAGAAAGCTGACATTAAAAACCCAGGCAAATTGCTATAAAAATGACAATATGCTTTAGGGCGTGCATCTATATAAATAAAAATGTAATGATCGTTTGTGGGATTAACATAACTCAAAAACCACTGGAGGAATTGCTGCCAAATTTGGCCACAAGACACCTACTCACCCAAGGAGTGACCATCACTTATGACCATCACGTGTGTGTGTGTCGGGGGGGGGGGTTGATTTTGTCATTTGGGAGTTGTAGTTGCTGGGATTTATAGTTAACCTACAATCAAAGAGCATTCTGAACTCCACCAACGATGGAATTGAGCCAAACGTAGCACACAGGACTCCCATGGCCAACAAAAAACAGTAGAAGGGTTTGGTGGGCATTGACCTTGAGTTTCAGAGTTGTAGTTCACCTATATCCAGAGAGCACTACAGACTGAAACTATGATGGATCTGGAGCAAACTTGGCACCAATATTCCATATGCCCAAATATGAACACAAATGGAGTTGGGAGGAAATAGACCTTGACATTTGGGAGTTGTAGTTGCTGGGATTTGTAGTTCACCTACAATCAAAGAGCATTCTGAACCCCACCAACGACAGAATTGGGGTAAACTTCCCACACAGAACCCCCTCCCCTCATGACCAACAGAAAATTCTTAAGGCCATCCAGTCCAACTCCCTTCACCAGGGCAAAATAAAATAAAATAACCAAAGCCCTCCTGACAAAGAACCATCCAGCCATAGATATAGATAGATATATATGATTCACACACAGAGAGATATAGTATCATAGATTTGAAAGGAACCCCTACAGAAGGACAATGATATGTTGCATGTTCCAGAGTAGGCAAACCAGAAAACCTCCACATCAACACTGACAAAGAAATAGGAAGAAATACTGTTTACCCACAAGCATAAAGAAATTATATATATTGGAAACCAACACTTTCTCATTACTTCATTTTCCAGATCACCAAACTGCGCCACAGCAACGTGTGGCAGGGGATGACTAGTTATATATAATAATAGAATTGTAGAGTTGGAAGAGACCACAAGGGCCATCCAGTCCAACTCTCTGCCATGCAAAAACATGGCAGGGAGCACTCCTGATAGATGGCCCTCCAGCCTCAGCTTTAAAAACCCAAATAAGGAGGATAGGATGATTTAAAAGAATCTCATTCATGGGGTCACAAAAAAATGGAGTCAGTTTGATGATAGTTAACAACAAATACACTTCTCTCCTCTATAGACTTCAATTGAGAACCAAGCCTATCATTAGGCAGAGGAAAGCATTTACTGTGTCGACATATTTTGAAGATCATGAGAAGGCAGTAAAATGTTAGCTATAAATTGATATTGCATTTTTACACAGAAAAGATGGGGAGAAAGACATTTGTGGGCTCTCCTCCCTCAAATAGCAGAAGGTAGGTGGCAGAGAGATGGTATCATTTGCTTCTCTGCCTTAGACAGCAAAATCCCCTGGACTAGATTTGATTGGATTACTTTTCCCATCACCATCAAGGTGATATAGGATGAGTATACCTCAAGACCACCAGGTTCAAAAGATCAAATTTTACTGGAGACTGACATCATGCTTTTTATTCTGGGGGGAGATTGATATTAGGTCTGGACTTGCTTGTTTGCTCTCATCCTGTCTAAAAGGCTTCAAAGTTTCATTAAGTAGCGAATGACTGTCATGGATAACAAGTACCATGGATAAAAGGTTCTGTGCCTGGTGATCACAAGCTAAACCAAATGGGCTAGGACAGAGAAACACTCACTAGGTTAAAGACAAGCTACAGAGGTTTATTCAATTTGGCCAAAGGGATGCAATTACAACTGGATGCTTCAAAGTGTGTAAGCATAAAGCATACAGAGAAAGCAGGACATCTTATACAGTTTGACATCTTATACAGTTTGACAGCTCCAGCTGCCTTCCCCAATTGGTTGAGACAGTGGCTGGTTTGGATCCAAGCCCTGCTTGGTTGAGAGTGCTGTTTGTGTCACGGCCTTCAGGTGGGAATTACTTTTCATGAGGAAATGACAGTTCAGGGTTGGCTAACTGAAGAACCAATTGGCTGATGGGACATCCTCTGGGAGGATAAATCATTTGTAAAGACAATTTTTAAAAGAAATTATAATGAACTCTTGATCAGTTCAGTTGTTTAGTTCTGCATTTGACAAAGACAGGAGCTTCCATGGGCACCTAAAAAAAAGTTTGAGGAAATCAAAGGCTGGTTTGTCAAGAAAGAGGTTTAACAAATGTACATATTCTGAGCCTGTTTCTGTGGTCAGCAATCTCTCAGCTTCATTTAACTAGTCAAATAATCCAGAGTTTATCTAGGCTGACAATGGAAATTATCTATTTCTGCATACATGAACAATTGATTTTTGATGATTTCCTGGCTGGGAAACAGCCAGAGGAATTTGCCCAACCTTCCTGCCCAGGAAATCACTCAGCGGGGTTAACTGTCTCTTGTTACATTTTATAAAGAAGTTTATACATTTTCTATAAGAGAGATAAATACAGGGCACAAAAATACAATTTACACAGAAAGTCAGGGAAGAACAGGTACAATTTATTAAAGGTTTGGAACAATAAATTATTTGTGGGGGTGTAGCTGCCATCGGTCCATTCCCAATCTCTGCTGCTTCAGGTCTGCAAAAGTTTGAAAATGTTTTTCAAAAAATCTTGATAAACAATAAATTGAAAGGGGGGTGGGTGGTCATTATGGCTCAAAAACATGACCATTAAATAGTGTTTTTAAAGATAAACAAACAGGAGTTATCTGAAATAAATCCTTACAGTCCTTTTTTAAATGCAAAAAGTACCAGCATGAAAATTAAATTGGAAATTCATTTTAGTCACAAAATAGCATTGTTATGCAACCATCTAAATAGTCCAAGGTAAATGAAATGGAAAACACCTCAGATTCATTGTTCTTTATTGCTTTTCTTCTGAAGGTTACAAGGATAAAAGGATTTTCGAATGTTTTCCTTTCTTTGAGTTAAACAGATATAATTGGTTTTCATTATCCAACTTTGAATGTGCATACCACTTCACACCAACTTTCATTTATGCTGATTGAATTCAATGTGGAAAACAACTTGCAGCCATTTGAGTTTTGTCTTTCCTATTCTTCTCCATTTTTCTTTGAGTTGACCATAAAGGACACAGGCATTCTCAAAAGATGAGGAAATGCTAACAAAAGCCATCTGTGCCATTTGGCAAAGTGATGCAATGCAATGTGTTTGCTATACAACCTGTCTGGGGCCATTTCAACTGAGAGAAGAGATGAAATGATGACATGAGCATCAAGGCTCTTCATCTTTCCAGCCCATAACTCCTTAATCGCATTTGATGTCCCAAAGGGTATGCCTTGCAATACCAATGCTTCCACATGGACCAAAAGGAAGGGGTAAAGGTCTGTGGGCTTGACAAGCCTTGTCAGCCTCTCTGTTCAGTCTTGGATTTTTGCACCTGGGAGACAAGTCACCTTGTCAAATCTGCAAGCTACTGCTTCCATACCCACACAGCAGGGAATCCCATATCATCACTATACATCTTCTTGGAGGTTTGGCAGGGAGTACTCCATGCGCTAACTGTTCCAAAGTGAGTGTTCTTGGTGGTAGCTCACTTACACAGGGCTTAAACAGGTAGCCATCATAATTTCTAGTGTCAAAGAGCTGGAATTATCATAAAAACAATGAATGCTGCATTTCTACCCTCAGGAAAACTGATGATTTATAAAATTGACATCACTCTGCGATTCTACACTGGGACAACAGTATGTTAGTGGATGGCCTTATATACAAGCCTGCCAGTGGCTCTGTGCACTTTCAATTGTCATGTTGGGTTTTTTTACCATTTCCGTGAGTCCTATTAAGCTGAGGGCAGCTCCACAAATCCTGTTTTACTGGAGCTCCTGAAACACTTTAAATTAGGGTAAAGGCGATGCTTTGTCTTTTAGATGTTCTTGGGACCATTTCACATTAACACAGACTTAATTCTGATAAGTGAGTCCCAGTATTTGTCAAAGTCATTAAGAGGTAGCTTATACACTTAATTTTGCCATTATTTATGTGTAAACCGCTTTGAGTCCCCCCAGGTGTGAGAAAGGCGGTATATAAATACTGTAAATAAATAAATAAATAAATAACCCTTGGGACACTCGAAATCCATTTAAAGTTGTTCATTGTGGGATTATTACATATGGGGGCCCTTCAGTCACTGTAAACATGTAACTATTACTCATGGAAGTCTCCTATTCAGTTATTTGTCTCCCTCTCACCCACCTTTCCCAGCTTTGAGAAGCACGTTCTTAGAAGAAAGATTAAAGACTTGAGCTGATTCCATTCTCTCTCTTTCATTCTTATATTATTGTCTCCAAATGTGAATCATGCCATTGGGAATCGTTCCCACTGACCTTTGCTGGTGAGAGGAGCACCCGGCCTTTCTGTTTACATGCCAGAAAAGTTCAGT